ACGCAAACAATTACTCAGGACACTCCTTTCGTATAGGAGCCGCGTCCACAGCCTCCAGTTTCAACGTCCCAACTCATGTTATCAAAACACTGGGGCGCTGGAAGTCATCCGCTTACTCACGGTACATACCGAACCCAGTACAAGAGTTAAGAGATGCTTTCATAAACATGTCTGGTTGATAAATGTATATGTATTGGTTGTCTGTTAATAAATTGGATTACTTAATTTTTGCCCTCTTCTTTCTCAGGCCTACCTCATCGTCGGTTTCGGCACACCACAACCGACTTGCTCCTTTTATCATCCTACGCTTATTCATGGTATTTCACACTGTACTATCTTAAGCACCTAACACAAGTATTAAGGCAATTTGCCTGCATTTGTGGGAGGTGCTGGTTTTCTACCCCTAGCCTACTTAAGGCACTCCCCTTGCCTGGCTCCTTACCGTTCGAGGTCAGCGTTGAATGACCCTCCCACCACACCACTTTTAACATTTATTTTCCTTTCTATTTCTTTTCCTGGGTGGGCCCTCTTCTTTCTCAGGCCTACCTCATCGTCGGTTTCGGCACACCACAACCGACTTGCTCCTTTTATCATCCTACGCTTATTCATGGTATTTCACACTGTACTATCTTAAGCACCTAACACAAATATATATATATATATATATATATATATATACATACATACATAATATGTATGTATGTATCAGTGGCGGACCCAGAGCCTGATCTCAGGAGGGGCACTTGTAGATTATTTAAAGAAATAATCAGGGCACAATAACCACTACAGCTCAGTGTAGTAGTTATGTTGCCAGTAGTTACAGGACCCCATCCCAGAGTAAGTAGTCAAACCGTTTAAGAACAGTTTGACAACTTACCTGGGGTCTGCTGGGATATAGGGCATAGGAGCAGTGGTATGTGTGAGCGGTGAAGTGTGTGTGTGTGTGTATGCGTGAGGGCAGCAGTGTATCTCAGGGTTGCAGTGTATGTGTGGGGCAGTGTGTGTGTGAGAGAGAGGCTTGCAGTGTTTGTATGGGGGCAGTGTGTGTGTGGGGCACTGTATGTGTGTGGGGCAATCTGTGTATGGGGGAGCAGTGTGTGGGGGGCACTGTATGTGTCTGTGGGGCAATGTTTGTAAGGGGGGGCAGTGTGTGTGGGACACTCTATGGGTCTGTGGGGGCAATGTGTGTATGGGGAGCAGTGTGTCTGGGGGCAGCGTATGTGTGTATGGGTGTGCAGTGTGTGTGGGGCAATGTGTGTGGTACAGTGTGTGTGTATGGGTGGCAGTGTGTGTGTGTGTGGCAGTGTGTGTATGGGGCAGTGTTTGTGGGGCATTGTGTGTGTGTGGGACAGTGTGTGTTTGGGAGGGAAGGAGGGTAGAGAGGCTTTTGAATTTTTTTTATTTTTTTATTTAATAAAATAAATACATTTATGTCCCCCCTCCCTTCTTACCTTTACTGAGGGAGGAGGGGGTACATGTCTCAATCCCTGGTGGTCCCAGTGGTGAGAGTGAACTCTAATCCGTAGCTCCAGGGCTAGAGTTCACTCTCGCAAGATCTGGAGCATTGCTCCCGCCCTTAACCCTCAGAGATAGGATCAGAGGTCACAGATCGGCTATCACAACAGCATTCAGAGATGGGAAGACAGAAAAACCTGTGGCGAAACATTTTTTTGCAATTTAATCACAGGTTAACTACATTGAAATTCATTGCGATAGACAGAATACCGGTCTTACCCAGAGGTGGAGACCGTTCTAGACATTTATTACAGAGAGAAACGTTCTGGATCAAACAACTGGACACTATTCAACCCAAAGGTCTTAATGAGTATATATCATTTAGTTCATTTTTAGACACTCAATAAACGTAAATATATGTGTATATATTTTTGGTTCAGCAATTATTTACCGTTATTATTTTTAGCTTATATACACAGATGTAGGGATAGCCTCTATTTATTACAGAGAATTTTTGTTGTCTTCAGTTGATTATCAGGCCATACTTTTATAGGATAGACTAGGACCCTTGTTAAACAACTATTTTTTATACTTTTTATCGAAGGGTATGCTTATTTACGCTTTAATAGGATGTTATCCCTTTTCTTCTGTTATGTATTATTATACACTTAGATTATATTTCGTTATGTACATACAATGATTAGACATTGCTATAGGTTTAGGTTGCAGGTTAGATAGACATACACACCTGGTGCACAGACCATTATTATTTGTTTATCACGTGTTTTTTATATATTTTTGCACTTGTCACTGTTTTTTGCATGAGCACTGTCACTTTTTCACTTTTAGGGTTTAGTATAGTTTTAGGATACTACCTACTTTTAGTTTTTGTAGTTAGTACAGATAGGTCACATTTTATATATTTCTTTACACATATCTTATCTCATTCTCATACATTATATATGGGGTAGTCATTATTTACATTATCTATTTTAGCCATTTATTATGGGTTTAACATTGACCAGTCCTTTTAGTCCGCTCTGTATAGCGGATTGTATACAGTCCTACTATTCTATTTTTAGCAATTAAGCTTCCTCCTTGTAGAGTTTTCACGGAGGTGTTGGTGTTTCTATGGTTACAATTCATGTTTTCTTTTTTGGGACGCGTAATTACCACGTCAGTACGCCAGTTCTTTTGGACGCATAATTATTATGTCATCACGCACTGGAACACGTTTTCACGCATGCGCACTGACACCAAACACGGAATCAGACGGAAATCTTTTCACACAGAAGGGGTAAGTTACAGATTTATTATCTAGGTATATATTGACACTGTTTGACACTATCATTATCTTGATAAAGACCCTGAAGGGTCGAAACGTTGATGGAGAGGTGGTGATTTTTTGAAATATATTTTTTTGAAATCCAAGTGAGTGCTCCCGTTTCCTGTTTTGTTTATATATATATATATAGATAGATAGATGTGTCTGAAGGCATTGCCTTGAGTTGTGGGACTTTCTTAAGGGACTCCCCCTTACCTACATTACCGTAGTGGTCTGATGCTCTGCATTGGATCACTTCCGGTTCGTGACTTCCGGGTCACGTTTCTTGTAGTTCCTATTAGCAATCTTTTGTGGTCCATGGTCTGTTCGACGCCTCCTCTCAGCCCCACGTTCTCGGGTAGGTTTTTTTTTACCCCGGACCTGAACACGGACATATCACTGTATGTTCGGGTTGGAGTTCGGTGTTTGACGATTTAATGGCGCGTTTTCAAAGGCTGCAGGGTAGCCAATCAACAAGCATTTGACTCGTGTGCCCTTAGAATCCATCACAGCCATGCCTACTAATGTGGTATGCCTGTGATTGGCCAGTGCAGCATGTGACCCAGCCTCTATATATAAGCTGGAGTTGCGTAGCGCTGCACGCACATGCAGTCTTATTAGTGTAGGGAGAGGATGCTGCCGCAGCTTAGGAAAGAATTCTGCAAACTAGTACATTAGTGGGGTGGGGTGCACTTCATATCTGAGAGTCAAATAGAAGCTTCAAATACCGCGCTTACATCGGAGTTTTAAAAAGTAATTTTTATTTTGGTGCTAAATAGTACATTAGTGGGGTGCACTTCATATCTGAGAGTCAAATAGAATCATCAAATACTGCTGTCACATTGCAGTTTTAAAATGTAAAAATTTTTGGGTGCTAAAAAGTACATTAGTGGGGTGCAATTCATATCTGAGAGTCAAATCGAAGCGTCTAATAGTGCGTTTTCTGCGCACTTGTAAACATTCTAATTGTTTTGCTGCTAATCTGCTAAATAGTACATTTTGGGGCCTGTTCTTCATATGTGAGAGTCAAATCGAAGCGTCTAAATCGAAGCGTCTTTCTGCGCACTTGTAAACATTCTAATTGTTTTGCTACCAATCTGCTAAATAGTGCATTTCATATCTGAGAGTCAAATAGTGCGTTTACTGCACACTTGTAAACATTCTAATTGTTTTGCGGCTAATCTGCTAAATAGTACATTTAGGGGCCTGTTCTTCATATCTGAGAGTCAAATCGAAGCGTCTTATAGTGTGCTTACTGCGCACTTGTAAACATTCTAATTGTTTTGCTGCTAATCTGCTGCTTACATTGGAGTTTGTTTTTTTTTGGCGCTAAATAGTATATTTGCGGTGTTCACTTCATATCTGAGAGTCAAATTGAAGCGTAACTTTGATTCGAATTTACTACATCGGTCACTTGTAATATTGTTTCACACCTACAACACTTGTTACACAGATCTAAGTGATGGAAAACAGACTGATATTTTCTACACTAGAAACTACCAGATAACAAGCTGCTATATTTAAAGCAGTGATCAATAGCTAAGAGGTACTTCAACAATATTGTAATTCTGTGGCAATACCCTCACAAGTCAAACTGAGAGGTCAGTTTATAGGGAAAAATGTTGCCTGGAGGAAATTCTAAAACAATTTCCATATGTCCTTTGCAAACTTTACATGCTGGAAAAACACACGTGCCAACTGCTGTGGCTTTCTGCAGTGTGCATATCGGCAAGGAGGGCAGGGTTGAGGAGTGGGTGGAAGATGATTTGGAGGATGATGAGGTCCTAGACCCACATGGAATCAAGGTCATGCGAGTGATGTGTGCAGTTTGGAGGAAGAGGAGCTGGTCGCACAGAGGCACCAGCACAACATAAGAGGGAGCAGAGTGCAAAAGTGGTGCGCCCATCCCCTAGCGCTCGTCGGCATGTATTAGCTCTAAAATTACTAGTTATCCAAGTAATACATGTAGCGATCAAAGGTTTCATAATAGACCTGGGCGAACCCGAAATGCCCAGGATTTAATGATCCATTCGTAGTTTCACAGTGAGGTGGGCAGTCCGGTGACCAGGACCCAGACTCTGTTAGGATGAGACATTTACTGTAGCGGCTGTGTGCGCTTTTGGCATTGTCACCCTGCTGCTGCTCGCCTGTCTGCACTGCAGTGTAACTTCGTCCTTCCCGCTCACTGCCTCATGAGACTGTGCAAGCAGCAGCAGCCGAAAGTGGAGTTTCATCTGCAGCACGCACGGGTCAGTGGTTCTGCACCAGACTTCCCTCCAATTGATCAGAGTTAAAGGATTTCAAGTGGACTCATTACAATTACAGAGCCTCTAAAGAGTCCGGTATTGTTATTTGTCGTCACTATCTTGCCGCATCGGGAGTGGGTCATTTGCGCGCCTGCTGCCTTCCTTGCATGTGGTAGCTGTTTCTCAGGGTCCCTGTACGGAATGGAATCCAGATTCCCCATTACCCATGGTCACCATGGTAGGCGCAGAAACTGGCATCGAAAGTTGATATGGATCACATCCACATGCAAAGTCGCCGCCACTGGGATGTGCGATTTGCCCGAGGTTCTCTAAAGTCAACAAAGTTCCTGCACAACTATGTCAACAGCTACTCTGCAATACAGAGTTGTTGTTGTTTTTTTTAATATAAAAAAAAAATCTAAAAATTACTGGCACTCTTGGGTTTAGTTAATCCAATTTATTGTTGGTCAATTCAAGCAAAGTCAACAAAGGCTCTTTGTGTCCTGATGAAAGCTGAAACGTTGACTTTGCTTGAATTGACCAACAATAAATTGGATGAACTAAACCCAAGAGTGCCGGTAATTTTTTGATATTTTTATATATATTTATATATATATATATATATATATATATATATATATACACACACAAATAAAAACCGTGTTGACTAAGAATGGACTAAAATACCCCTATTATTATAGGAATTGCAGTTGTTGGATGAATGTTGTATGGTTGTATTCTGTGAAAGGGAAGGGGGAAGGAAATAGGAAATCATTCTGAAGTGCATATCCATGAATATTCAGGGATTAAATACCCCTTATAAAAGAAAACTCCTACTAGAATTACTTAAAAAAGAACAGATAGAAAAAGCTCCATGATAGCTCCATGATCCAGGAGACGCATTGGAAAAGGGAGGATAAAATAAGATGGAGATATGAACAATATGCAGAAGTTATACATGCATCTTTGGAAGGAGAAAAAAAGAGAGGAGTAGCTATTATTTTTTCTAAAAAGATCAAAAAAGAAATTATACACTTAGAATTGGATGAGGAAGGTAGATATATAATTTTAGTGTGTAAAATAGAATCAACAATATAAACTATTGTAAATGTTTATCTGCCTAATATCTTGCCTTCAAAATACCTTAAAAATAATGGATAAGCTTGACAAAGTAAAAATGGGGATTCTAATAATTACAGGGGATTTTAATTGTGTCCCAGATATTTTAATAGACAAAAAATTAAGGATAATAAAAAAAATAAAAAGACAAAGAAACAATCAAAAATTATGGGAAATATTATGAGAGAGTGTGGTCTTATGGATATCTGGCGTGTTTTCTATCCCATGGAAAGATAATATACTCATCTCTATAGAGTTCATCAATTTTTTTCCAGAATAGATCTGGTCTTAGGAGAGAATTCTTTAGTGCAACAGATTAAAAAAAATAGAAATAGTTGAAAATTCATGGGCAGATCATAGTTATAAATAAACCATTTATTACCTGGCGATTGGATGACAATATTATCTTAGAGTGAACATCAAAATCAAATTGGAAAACTTATTGAGTTGTATTTCAGGGAAAACAAAACAGAAGGTATGTCATATTCAGTGATCTGGTGTGCCTTCAAAGCTGTCATAAGAGGCTACTTGATAAAACTCAAAAGTAGACTAAATAGGGAAAGGGGTGCAACTAGAGAAGAACTTTATATTCAATACTACAGAATCTCTAAAATATGAAAAATCTCCTAACTAATGAAACAATAATACAATTAAAAGATATAAAAGAAAAAATAAACAAAATAGAAACAGAATTATCAGAGATCTAGAAAAAATGAAAGTAAATTATAATCATGATAATAACAAAATTACAAATTGGATGACTAATAAGCTGAAGAAAAAAAGGGGCTAAATAGGATAACCAGCATTAAAAAAGATCAGATTGAGTATAAGAACCCTGAAGACATAGCAAGAATCTTTAACCCCTTCCCGACCCAGGACGGTTCAGGACCGTCATCGGGATTTTCCCATTGCGGACCGATGACGGTCCTGAACCGTCCTAACGGTCTTAGTTACTTACCTGATCGCCGTCGTTCCCCCGGCGGCGATCAGCGTGGCTCCGGTTGTGGGGAGACTGTCTGCAGCCCAGACAGTCTTCCCACACTGATTTAGGACCCCTGTGGCCATGTGATCGCTTAACACAGCGATCACATGGTCACAATAGGTGTCCATAGTGGTGCCTGCAGGGGGACTGTCTGTGCTGACAGGCAGTCTCCCTGCTAGTGTAAAATCATTTAAAAAAATAAAGTTAATGTTAATAAAAAAAATTATAATAATTATATATGTATATATGATATATAGACATATATTATATCTATATAATATATGTCTATATATCATATATATATAATGCCATACTAAGTGTATTTTTATATTAATATGTACTTATATTAATATAAAAATACACTTATAATTAAATTACACACGTATATATATATAATATATATAATAACTATATATATTGTATATATATATTATAAAATATAAATAAGTAATTTAAATTAAATAAAAAAAATTTTAAATAAAAAATTTTAAAAAAATTATATAGCTATATGAAATTTTATTCTAACTGTATTTTAAAATTAATATATTTATATCAAAATACACTTAGAATGAATTTGTATATATATCTATGTATATAAAAATAAATAAAAATAATAACAAATATACATATGTCCATATACAAAATTACATAAATAATTATATAAATATACACGTAGACTTCAAATATATAAATATGCATATATATTTAAATTCTACGTGCGTATTTATGTAATATTTTTACATAATTCAGTAATTTTATTGATTGCAATTTGAGGGACCTGCCTGCCAACCCAGGCCGAAATTCCAGAGAATTTAATTTGTTAGCACTGTATTTTACCCTGTAACGTTCTACGACACCCTAAAACCTGTACATGGGGGGTACTGTTTTACTCGGGAGACTTCGCTGAACACAAATATTAGTGATTCAAAACAGTAAAACATATCACAGCGATGATATTGTCAGTGAAAGTTACTTTTTTTGCATTTTTCACACACAAACAGCACTTTTACTGATGATATAATTGTTGTGATACGTTTTCCAGTTTTTAAACACTAATATTTGTGTTCAGCGATGTCTCCCGAGTAAAACAGTACCCACCATGTACATGTTTTATAGCATTTTTGAAAGCTACAAGGTCAAATATATGGGTCAAATATTTTTACATTGAAAATGGCCAGGTTGGTTACGTTGCCTTTGAGAGCGTATGGTAGCCCAGGAATGAGAATTACCCCCATGATGGCATACCATTTGCAAAAGAAGACAACCCAAGGTATTGCAAATGGGGTATGTCCAGTCTTTTTTAGTAACCACTTGGTCACAAACACTGGCCAAAATTAGCGTTCAATTTAGTTTTTTTACTTTTTTCACACACAAACAAATATGAATGCTTACTTTGGCCAGTGTTTTCGACTAAGTGGCTACTAAAAAAGACTGGACATACCCCATATTGAATACCCTGGGTTGTCTACTTTAAAAAAAATATGTACATGTGGGGTGTTATTCAGAGATTTATGACAGATAATAGTGTTACAATGTCACTATTGATAAATTTTAAAATGTATGTTTTGAAACCGCAATATCCTACTTGTACCTATAGCCCTATAACATGCAAAAAAAAGCAAAAAAGCACGTAAACACTAGGTATTTTTAAACTCAGGACAAAATTTTGAATCTATTTAGCTGTTTTTTTCATTCGCTTTTGTAGATGAGTAAAAGATTTTTCAAGTAAAAGTCAAAAAACATGTATTTTTTTCAATTTTTCATCATATTTTTTTATTTTTTTTAAATTAAAATACATGAGATTATATAAATAATGGTATGTAAAGAAAGCCCCTTTTGTCCTGAAAAAAACAATATATAATTTGTATGGGAACAGTAAATGAGAAAGCGGAAAATTACAGACAAACACCACAAAAGTGTAAAAATATGCCTGGTCGCAAATGTACAACATCGCAAAAACAGTCCAGTCCTTAAGGGGTTAAGAACTACTACGAAGATTTATATAACATTCCTAAATCATTAGGGAAAAACAAAGAATTATTTGGAAGATATTAATTTACCAGAAATTTCAAAACAGCTTAATGATAAGTTAAATATGCCTCTTATGAGAATAGAATTTCACACAGCTATTGAAAGATTAGAAAAATATATAAAACCCCAGGCCCAGATGGGTTGACAAACCATTTTTATAAAACATATAGTAATTTAATATGTGAACATCTAGTTAATGTTTATAATGAGATAGTTGAGAAAAGATCTGGACCCAAAGAAATGCTTTATGCAAATATAATCCTTATCATTAAAAAAGATAAGGACCCCAATGAATTGAAAAACTATCGATATCTTTAATTAATGTAGACTCTAAATTGTTTTCGGCCATTTTGGCTGAAAGAATTAAATCTATTTTGCCTATCCTTATACATGAAGATCAAATCGGCTTTGTCCCCTTCAGACAGACAAATGCTAATTCCAGGAGACTGATAGACATATTGGATTGGGGGGATAGAACGAGTACGCCTCTCCTGACCCACTGGACGCAGAGAAGGCCTTTGACAGGGTCGGGTGGAGATATGTTTAAGGTCCTGGAAGCCATGTGTTTCTGTGGATGGATGATGGCCACAATTAAATCTATATATCAAGACCCCATGTCCAGTGTAGTTGGTTCAGATTTATGTTCCGATTGGTTTGAGCTAAATAATGGCACCCGTCAGGGATGCCCACTCTTGACAATAATGTATATTCTCTCCAGCTGACGAGAGCCCCTAGGTAATGCGGTATGAATTTTCCCAATATCAGAAAGCACTATGAAGCTAGCATGATCCATCACATACAAATTTTAACAAAAAAAAGAAGCAATAAATACAGGATGGTACAAACTTGAGATTGACTAAGCAGCAATTTAAATAAATTGTTATGGCACGAAAAAGGAAATTTAATCCTAAAAGAAATTCTAAATAAAATAATTTGCCAAACTCTTCCAACATGGTTTAAACTGAGGAAGCAAATGAACCACAGGGGCAAGATATATGACTTCATGGAGAGAGATTTTAGAATCCCTTATAGAATATATAAATCTAGATCAATGGAAAGAAAAGAATATTGGAGAGATCGGAAGCATTATGGCAGGAGGTTCAGTTAAATCATTTGCCACTTTAAGGCTAGAATATGAGCTACCCATTTCGGAAACATTCAATTATATAAGGGTGAAATATTTTCTTTCTAAGAATTATGTGGAGGGGTCTTTTTGCATCAAACAAATATTTGCTCATGCAAATTCTAGAAAATTATCAAAATGTTATATGTTGTCTCGATTAATTCCATATAATATAAATGCTTTGAACAAGTGGGAAACCGAATGTAATCTGTCCATAGAAGTGGATGCTTGGGGAAAAGCTCTACAAAAACTAAAGAAAAATGTTCATAATATTGTTTTGATTGAAACTTTTTATA